TGATGAAATTCCACTTTTTAAATAGTTCGCGTCGTACCAACCTTGGAATGCTGCTTCATAAAGGCTGATATCGAATATTTATTCACAACCTGATGCTCGCGCGTCGATACCTCAACCAGCCAGCCAATACGAACCCGCTTAGGGTTTGTTTAGGGCTAACTTGGCATCACGCCACTCTCCAGGCAAGAATATGATACAGTAGGAGATACAGAGAAGAGGCGTTTCGTGTGTCTCTCCTCGCGAAATGACCCGGATAATAATCGAATTCCGTTTTGAAATCGTGCTTGAACAGAATGTGTTCGAACCAGTTGAGTTTCCCTCGATGTTCAAGCTGAAGTAATGAAACTGAATTAACCCCTGCTGCTTCAGAGAGAAACAGCATCGCTAATTTTCTCACAGCGGACTCTCTTGCAGCGTGTGTACGAATCGTTGAAACATGTTCTCGGTAACACTTCGTCGATGAATGTTACCAGTTATCACAGCTGATTCAGCTGAATTTCTTGTTTAATTTCATTGTTTACTTATACACAAATGATTGCATATGGAAATAAGTGAAAAGGTTGAATCGATGCTTTTTAGATGCTTTTCAAACTGAAGATATTTGGAGAAAAGTAATTTTTGAAAATTTTCTCGCGTTAAAAGTTGCGCTAAGATTTATCTCGCTGTGATTTCTCTCTTTCCACTTCTTCGTCCCGAATCTTCCACTTTCCCGCAAGCTTAAGTTGAGAGAAGAGAAACCGAGGGAGAAGCCTAAAGAGCTAATTTCGAAGTTTTTCCCCGGGGAAGAGGGGAGGAATCAACCCTTCCATTATATCTCGTACTTTTGTAACAGTTACACTTCTATACCCGAGCTTTGGTAATTTCGTAAATGAATAGGAACGAGAGCCTTTATCCTTTTCTCGCGGATTAAAATGTCACGGTACGGCCTAAATAAATCGCATGGAAATTAAAATGAATTTAATTAAGCATCTAACCCTTTAATGTTACGGTTTCGATAACGTCGGCCAAGCACGGAGGGGAAAACGGGGAACGTTTTACTGCAGCGGGGACGGCTCGGAGAGCCTTATCCTTTGTGCAATTTGCAAATGTACCACGGTCAGACCGCACAAAACCATGTGCATCGGTAATGGCGGCCACTGGACACAATACGACCGGATACACGAAACTATATTTTGATTGGAAATGCATTTGGAACGACGTTATCGAGCTCACCCGGCTTGCATCCCAAGCCTGCGGATGGAAACTGTTGACCTTTTTTTCTTTCTTTTTTTGTTTTTTTTGCGTTGGAAGGAAACGAGCGAGTAGGAGAAGAAGAAGAAGAGAAAAAAAAGGAAAGAAATTTATATCGCGCCATTGCGCATTGCAGAATAATCAGAGAAGGCTGTTTCTCCGGCGCGAAACGCTTCTCCACGAAATCAATATTGAAGAAAGTCGACGGGGCACGATTTATTCCATTTGTTCTCGTTTCTCTTGTAACGTTACACTTGTTAATCTTGTGCGATATGATTTTTCTTCGTTGGTGAAGAAGAGAGGTTAGGGTTGATTGAGATTTTTAGTTTTTGTGGGAGATGGAAGAGTTTTTAGTTTTTTTGTAGAGAAATTTAATGGTGCAACGATATAATTATAGAGAAATGTAGAGAAAATGTGGAAGTTAAAGGACACGTGGTGTTGTAGAGGTTAGAATTCTTCCAGCACGTACGATTTTTCTTGGTTTATGAAGGAGAAGAATTACGATTGATTAGAATTTTAAATTTTCATGGGAGAAGTAGGAATTTTTATTTTTATTACAGAGAAATTTAATAACGTAATGGTACAACGATATAATTATACAAAAATATAGATAAATGCATATGGAACTTAAAAGTCACGTGACGTTACAGAGGTTAGAATTCTTCCACCAGGTGCGACGTTTCTTCATCCACGAAGAAGAAAAATTACGGTTGATTAGAAAGAAGTTAGCTGATAATAACGTAACGGTGCTACGATACAATATTAGAAAACTGTAGATCTCTAAATATGGTAACTTCCAAGTCACACGGCTATATATGTAGAGGTTAAAAATCTTCCACCAAGTACATCGACATTTTCAACTGTTTGCACACAGTGGGTAATTTCGTACGGTTCGTTGCTGATGGCAATGTACTCCGTTAATCGTCTCAATTTTCCTCGAAAAACACAGAGAGAGAGAGAGAGAGATACTGCATCTTCGATGTTCGATCGATAGAAATGATCCATTAAGAAAGAGAAAAAGAAGTGGGTGCAATGGTTACGAAGGCGAAGAAACGTTCCTCGCCTGAGGATCGATATAACCTCCTTAGTATCGCGATTGCCGCGTCAAACGGTGCCGTCAGGCGATGCAAACAATACGAACCGTGAGATTACGTTCCTCGATGAGATTTTCGCAATCTCCGGAAGGAGCACGGTATCCATCCTCACCTCCTCTTCCCTCTGTTTTATTGCTTCTAATCTCGTTTCACGATAACATTATGCAAATCTTTACTTTTCCATTCACTCTTTACTTTACCTCCTTAATTTATTTAGTCTATTAACAAAAAAGAAGAGCAGGAAGCATGATGAATTTATAGCTTGAGATCTCTCTCTCTTTCTCTCCTTCTCTTTCACTGTCTTTCTCTGTTTTCCTCCTTCTCTCTCACTCTCTTTCTCTGTTTCTCTCCTCTCTCAATGTCTTTCTCTGTTTTCCTCCTTCTCTCTCACTCTCTTTCTCTGTTTCTCTCCTCTCTCACTGTTTTTCTCCTTCTCTCTCACTCTCTTTCTCTTCCTTTCTCTCAAAGAACCCGAATTAATTCATCGATTCTTCGCAACGAGGAGAATAGAAAAACGGAGTTAGCAGGAAAGAACGGAATGGGATGGCAGATGTTTTTCCAAGGGAATCGGTAGTACGACGGATGGATTACTAATTCAACGACGTCGAGAGACGGCCGGAAACGGGCATAGTAAGTTTCCGTTTAAATTGTGCCAGGCCGGTATCCGTGGCAGCGGCGGGAGGCAAGATTAAGAGATTAACGCGAGATCGACGAATACTGAAGGAATTCAGGGAACGTCGGGGATATTGCCGGGGCAATTCGCTTGGATTTAACGATTGGAAAGAGGAGGCTCGAGCTTATTCGGCGAGGAAATAAGGACGCAAATGAGAGCACAAAGAGGACAGCGGGGAAATAAACCGAGCCTCTTGAACTGCCGATTGAACTTTTCAGTCTGAGGAGGCATTAAGCGAGCTCGACGATGTCTTAATAAATCCTGCCGGTCGATTGTTACCCTTTGAGAAGCGATAGAAAGTCGATCGTAGGAGACTTTGACTTGCTGGAAAATGTACAAAAGTTACAGGTCTCGTTGACCTGTTAATTGTCAAAGACCAGACAAACTGAGTTTTATGAATAATCTACATAGAATCAGACTGCGGTAATTTACTTATTCAAGAATCTGTCTGCTTCTATTGTTCTTTAACGCGGTGTTTCTCAAAGTGGGTTTCCCGAAAACATCCTGGGATTCCCAGAGATAAGGTGTCTTTCAACAAAAATTCATTTTAAAGGTCATTTTTATTTCATTTATCCCATTGCCGACATTTCTGTGACAAAGTAAGTTTGAGAACCACTGCTCCAAGAGTTATTTTCTTGCTTTATCAACTGATTATTTCACTACGGCGTTATTATTCATACGTGCACGTGAAAATCGAGTGGAAACTGTGGAACATGCGTTGCAACTCATAAATATCTGCTCACCCCTTTATTCGCATTATTCTGTATTCCAATAACCAACTTCGTTTAATCAGTTTTCACGAACCAAGTCGAACATTTAACTTGTTTTCACGAAAAAAATGCAATTCGATGAAATAATTGAAAGCAAACCGATCGATCGATCTCCGAAGTTATACCATTTTCGTTAATTCCCAATTGCACACCGAAGGGGTTGGAATTTCCGCTGGAAAAATGAATTCGGTTAACAGGTGAAATCGGTAGGTTCTGAATGAGCGGGAACGATGACTGAAACCGATCGTAATAACGCGTCTGATAACAGGAGATCGGGTAGAAAAAGCTGTAGTTACGCTGTGAAAACCGTTGTTTTAAGCGCAGTCATTTGGATTTCATAGGGATGCATTAGGGATTATCGGCTCGTTGGAACAGTTCGAAAGTCCATAAAATATACATGGGTCAACGGTAAATAAATTGCCGTGTTCGATCGTGCGAAAGGCTTATTGTATATCTACAAAGTACGTGTTTCGTTGCTCCAACGCGAGGGTGGCTTAGAGAGAGAGAGGATATCTTGACATCGATCGACACGTAGTTCCGCATCGATGCTGGAATAAAAGCTCTAGTTACATATAACCGGAACATAATCAACGATCAGATCGATCAATTGTAGTTTATCGTGTGTGCATAAGTTCGCGTGAACATTCGATAAAGACGTCAGGTTAATTCACCGAGAAAGGGAGAAACGAAGAGATTCACAGATAACACTTTCCATCCGCGACTTTCACTCGTTATCTGGTAATTCTCTGTTTTATCACATTATTAAATCGATATCGTCGGAAACGTTCAGGTGTAGAAATTGCGCCGTAAAGTGTCTCCGTGTTGCGAAACAACGGGCTAAGAGTCAATTCTCCGTGATCCTTCACTTCCAAAGTGTCTTTCCTCGACTTAACTTTCGAACCACTTCAACTGACCTAAGGATCTTATCTACCGAACGATATCGCACCATCTGAGACCTCGAGCAATCGAAAAAAAAATCGTCATCTTACATTCGTGACTAAATGAAACGAAACTGAAACAACGTCGAAAAAGGGGGGGTCGATAAAATGGAAAACTCACCCTAGATCGTGAAAACTCATTTCATCCATATTCACCATCACGAAACAGGGGTGAGAGAGGGGGAGATGTGGGGGTGTAGAACCTTTCACGATATTCCCAAGCTTTCTCGTTACAAAGTAAAACTGATCCCTGGTGTGTGTGTGTATATGTGCGTGCGAAAATAAAAAAACTCACCCTCGATCGTGGTGAGCTCCGGTGGTGGCTCGGACATACCGAGCGCCGTCCGATCTTGGACGATCCAACATGACACGAGGAGCACGCAAACGAACCTCGCCGCATAGCCGGGCTTCCTCGATGCGGCCACGATGGACGTGGATGACGGCAGGGACGCCGTCGCAGCGACGGCGTCGGTGGCGTACATCTTCACGACTGGCCCTGACACGAGGCCTCTCTTCTCGCGCACCCTTCTCTTCTCTGTCGCTGCTCACCCCTATGTACGCATACGTGGTACGCACCGCGGAGCACCTGCACGCAGGTCAAGCCTGCCGTACCTACTTCCGGTATCACATATCCGCGCGATCGGCCCGCGTGATCGATAGCACGCGCATATCTCCGCACCTTCCACCAGGCACCGTTCCACCACCGCAGAGTAGCAACGGGAGAGAGGAGAAATCAGGAGGATACGGAGTAGATTGAACGGTTGGACAGGTGAACCTTCGTCAGGTATCTTCTTCCTCTTCTTCCTCCTCTTCTTCACCCGCAGCGTCGTCTATGGTTTGTTCACCGGTTAGAAAAGGCTCGTCGTGGAACAAGAGAAAGAGAGAGAAGGCTCGTGGACACGGTGGAACCGTTTTACCGCAACCACCACCACCACCGCCTCCCTCTCACCGATTAAACGACAGGTTCATGAGAACAGATTGTGACACACGGTGCAATCTCGAGAACCTCTTCCTCTCGTTTCGTCTCCTTCTTCCTCCGCCTTCTTCTTCTTCGTCCTAGAGACGATTATATTCGTGCGCCGTAGGGGTAGAGTGGTGTATGATAATCGTGTGTGTACCGTCACGTTCGATCGAAGTGAAACGAGCTGTGTGTTCCACTGACGTGACGATATCTTCCTCCTCTTCCTACCTCCTCCTCCTCCTCCTTCTCGGCCCCTTTCGAAACGACCGGGAACGACGAGGTGCACGAACGTTCATGGAACGAAAAACGACACGAGAGAGAGTTGGACGCGATGCCGTGTACGCGGGCGTTCGCGATATGGAGCCAGCAAACAACGACCGAATCGCGTCGGGGGTGGCCGCGACGCCAGGGCGCCGACGTCCTGCGCAATGTACGCGAGAACCAGCATACGCTTCTCGCTCGCACCCCCTCGGACCAACACCACCACCCGTCGTCGTCGTCGTCCCGCAGCAGCCGTGGTGGAACGTCGCAGGGGCGCAGTGCCTCTGAGTCATTCCTCGCGAAACAGCCCACCACCACAGTCGTCGCCGAGTTTTCTCTGCGGCGCGGCGTAAATATGCATGATCCTAGGTGAGGAACACGTCGAGCATAGAGAACCTAGGGGAGAGACCTAGTCGAGCAAGAGGGGAGAGAAACATCGCCGAGGGGTTGTTGTTGCGAGAACCTAACGACGCGACCACGGATTAGCGGTTTCGCCGAGATACGCGAGGCCTGCCTCGCGTAAATATGGATCGTGCTCGCGACCATGCTTTTCACGGAGGAAAGCGTAAAAGTTGTACGGTACACGGTTCTTCTTGGCAATCCTTTAGCGCAATTTGCTGGCAGATTTTCTATGGCTTACAGGTTCAGGCTACGGATTTGTTTTTTAAACGAATTTACCGTCTGGTTTGAAAGCTCGGAACTACTGTGCGTTTCGACGGTGCACGAGGAAGTCACTCTTTCGGAGGAAGAACGGACGTTCTCGATGGAAGAAGTAGGACGTTGAACGAGGAATCGATAGAATAAAGAAACAACGGCGTGAAATTTATGGTTGCACAGCGGATTTTTATTTTTCTTCGTGCGCCCCGGTCGAGATGGGGCGGAGAGGTGATAAATTGACTCAGCATGATTCTAAACAGCACGAATTCTTACGCTCCTTTTCCACACACTTTGACTTCAATCTCAACTCGAACCATTGAACCTCTCGAAAGAGTTCACGCTCCCTTGTCTTCGGCGCTCGATCTTTCACATCAACGACACACATTCGCGTATTCCTCCTTTGCCAGAATTACCATATGCATTCTGAGAAACCCATTCGAATACGCGCGATTGCTCGATCTTCCTTCCAGTCCAGGGGAAAATGTCCGAATGGATTTATTCGAACGGTACGAAAATTTTTCCCACCGATATTTTATCGTAGTCCATTTTTTGTCATAAGCTCTCGATACGTCAGTCAATCGCTGTTCGATCGAACGAGGGGGGTGGAAAAAATTGGTAAGATAAAGCGATCAAACGCACGTCGAGCGAAGTTAACGATACTCGATGAGAATCGCATTGCAGATAAACGTTTTTATCGATGTGTTTATAAAGACTGGTCTCGTAAAAGCCCACAGGCTGTAATTTCACGTCAATTTTTACGGCGATCGATTGCGTAAACCTGTCCGTTTCTGTCGGAAACTACGTGACAATCGATGGAATCCAGATGCAATCGAAATAGGCGGCATTCCGGTCGATCGTGTAAGTAACACTGTCGTTACAATCCCTTAACCTTTTCATTGTGCAATATAGTAGACAGCAGGCGTAATTATTAAATTTTGTCTTGTATAATACAGTGAAAATTGCGTTTCGCACGTTTTCACAATTATTTTCAGTATACTTGTAGCTAAATTTGCGAAACAATTTTGTCACCTTAAAAAATCAAACTCCATTTTCTCTACTTTGTAAAACACTGTTTTTGGAAATGCTTACTGTTCCCGCCAATTTATCCCTTTAACTCTTTCACGGCCGAATTATTATTTTTTTAAGAATTTTTCCTTTATTTACCGATCACTGTGTTTATAACGAATCCTAAACTGACATTAATTTTTGTTCGACTACTCATGTGAGACAATTTTCGTCTAACTGGTCGCGAAAGGGTTAAATTTCAAAATACATTCCGCACACCGTTGAATTCTTTCCATATTTCTGAAAGGATCAAACGTCGACCCAAAAATTTCATCGCGAAGTAACTCTCAACAACCAGAGAAAAAAAGAAAGGAAAAATCGTAATTTAAAAACAGACGGATACGAAAGTTACGCAAGTCAATGTTAATAATGGAAGAGATCCTGTCCCCGATTTCTGCTACGCATCTAGATTCATCGAACAGCTCTTGCAGTATCCACTCCCCGTTCGATGCTACTTTAAAATCGTAAAGTGTATCTGTGGAGATCGGTTTGGAAGTTATCAAGCCCTCCCTTGCGGGAACGACCCACTTTTACCCAAGCAACGAACTTTACGTAACGCGTCTCACGATCCTTTTGCTCGCGCAAAAGACGACATGCTGGGTTCCATTAGCGGCATCCAACGAAGAAACGGCAAAACCCTCTTTGGAAACGTGTAGCAACCGTCTTGTCCCCGTATCGGTTCACGTGTCTCAGCGTGAGCCCGGTAATCGCGGCTTCTTAAACACCAGAACGTGAATTCCCCTTCCGATACGTTAACCGTTTGCTTTGGGAACGCTGTACAGGGTGGGACAAACGAGTGGAACAAACGAGCAGAAGATGATCATTTTCTCGTTCGACGCTATTTTCGAAAAAAATTATGTTTTTTTTTACAATCACTGTATACTCTGTTCAATTTAAGAGTAACCTCGCTCTCGGACCGATTTTCGTCCATTCTGCGCATAGACGGAGAGCGTAGCAGAGGGTAAGACGGAGAAAAGCGTAGGCGGTTAAGTGGGGGTGTTTGGCCGTTCTAGCCCTGCCTTAGGCACGTCCCATACGCGAAACGAGGTTATTCTTAAATTGAACAGAGTATACAGTAATATCTCTCACGCTGTCGCCGTGGTCAGAACCGAAAGGCGTCAGTTTTGGTAGAGGAGACACGATTTCCGCCGAAAGGATAGTGGAAGGAAAGGAGTTCAGTATTGAAAACAATTAAGTATGTCTAAATTTGAATTTCTTGAAAAGTCATAAGGAATAGAAAAATCGTTGTCCATTAATTACGATGGTTTCCCTAGGATCTAATTCCTTTATGTAGAAAGTATTATATCACATAAACTGTCGAGTTTGTAGTTTAACTATATCATTCGATTCATGAATATTACTCAGCTGTACAATAAAGAAAAATGATAAGAAGTTGTGCTGAAATTATGCTTGCAAACTTAAACGTCGAGTAAAGACAGACACCTGCACTGATACAGAAAAATACTAATTTTCCAAGATTAAATTTCTCGCATATGAAACACCTTGAATAAAACAGCTCCATCTTGTATTTCACATTTTTCTAGAATTTTTGCAAAGTGAAAGACGCGTGGTTATTACAGCGATACCCTGTATATACGAGTTCATCGACCACGTATCGTTGTGTATAAAATTGGTCGACTACATTGACAGGTTTTGCTGAATGAGTGTACATATAAGTTCATCGTCCTCAAAGGGTTAAACGCGTCGCGTAGTCGCCTTCCACTTTGCTGGTCACTCGAGACCTCTGGGACTCCCTCGTCTCTCCCACAGACGAAGTATAGAATACGAATCTTAAAATAACCACACTAAATCGTAGAGGATATAAAACAACATTGATTTTTTCCCCGATCAATATTTCATATTCGTGTACGATAAGTCTTGTAAGATGTTACGTGTTTCTCTCTCTCTCTCTATTTTCTACGAAATAATTCACTCGCCTCTCATTTATGGAGTTCGTGTTACTTAAACTGCTTCCAATTACGACCGATAAATATTATTCAACGAGTATAGATATGAACTGTTTTCAGTTGCATTACTTACCGATATTTTATCGTTACAAGTTCTGAAAATTTTAATACAGCAAGACGTGCTGAGCAGGAAGTGTGTTAGCACGTTAACTGTCACGCCGAGTTACGGCAACCGGCGCATGATTTTTGTGCAGTCGCGTATCAAGTTGAACTCTTGCCGCTTAATAAAGATAACGGAGTGTATTAAGTTATGCAATATGAAATGTTGCAACGAAAGTTGTATTTTAAATTCATAAATCGTGCAAAAAACAATTCCTCTCGAAGAAGAACGTTTCGACACTCGGTCGATCACTGGAACGATCAATTTGTCTAATGATTAGAAATTCGACAATTCGTATTACCCAATAATTAATAATTTTCAAATCAATTTTTCCATTTTACCTCAGAATTCTTCATTTCTTTTTTATATCCTCTACATTTTCTTCCAAGCGATCAATTTTCTAATGATCAGAAATCCGACATTCGTGTTACCTAATAATTATCGAATCGATTTTTCCATTTCATCTCGAAATTTTTCACTTGGAAATCGCGTTCAATTTTTTTTCGAAATTTCCAACTTAACCAATCCAATTTTTCTGTTTTATCTTTACCAAAAAATACACGAAACAGACGATTCTCTGTATTATCTTCCGAGTTTCCAATTTTCTAATCGTTAGAAAATAAACTACCATTCCCCATAAACGCGACAATTGAAATTCGACTACCACAGTTTATCCATTGATAACAATTATTCCGCTCAAACGAAGAGTCTCGTTTCCTATTCCAACGAAAGCGAACCTTGACACAGCTGAGAAACGACGAAATTTTGCGCGGCGATTAACGTGTTAATCGAAGTTTCTGTTCACTCGTGACGTATCCCCGCGAATCTCGCGTATACGTTAAATCTTGTTTAACCGGAGGTTTCTTGGTGAATCCTTTGGGACTATATGTGTGTACGTGGTGGAAGAAGTTGTGCGGTGGAAAACGTCGGGGAAGAAGCATCTGTTGCAGATGGTTCGTCCGAACGTTGAAGTTCCTTACACGACACGATCGTTCGTTAGGATAAGTCAGCGATGCCAGGGGAATGTGAAAAGGTAGAAAGGCTTCTTTGTTTGATGAACGAGGCGTTGTTCGGGGAACGAACAAGTCGTTAGCTCTTGGTTGGATGAAATACTCCTGAAGAAGGTTCTAACGATGTTCCTTCTTATTGCTTGTAATCAATTTTCTACGCGTCTTTCGAAGGAAGATGATGGATCTAATGAACCTTGTGCTAGATTCGTACGAGTCCGACAATGGAAAATCTTCACGTCACGGTTCGTAACACGTTCGCGTGATATGATAATTTATTCAAATAATGCGATTTTTATCTTGTTAACAGGAAGTTCGAAGACTTCTTCGCTCGATAAATGTTACTTAACCCTTTGACGACGTTTGGATAGTTCTTGTGTACATTTCACGAACTGTGAACCAACGAACTCGCACATTTTTAGCAATAGAAATATTTATATTTGAGGAAGATATAATTTTGGTGTAACTTAAAAAACAAAATTGAAACAGTGGCGTAGTAATCCTCAAAGGGTTAAGGAGAAAGTTAATTCACAGTAATATACATCTTTCAATTTTTGACATTCTTCTTGTCGTATCTGTTGTATCGAGGGAAACATAGTTAAAAAAAAAACAAAATTACAATAGTGACATGGTAGTCCTCAAAGGGTTAAGCGGAAAGTTAATTTACAAATTAATATGCATATTTCAATTTTTACTATACTTTTCTTAATTTCTGAAATAAACTGTAACCATTGGTAAGGTTCGCCTAATTTTCGTACCTCTACCGACAGAACCTTTAGCGGTCAGACACTTGAAAGTGACTGCAGAACAGATTACCGTGGAACGCTGGACAAGCCGTGATGGTACAAGTCGATCAATCGAGGATTACGAAACTGCGCCTGACAGATTGAGGACTTTTGCTTAATGACACGATCAGTATGGTCGATTGCGAATGAAAATAGAAAGTGACTTTCGTCGGTTAGTAATGAAAAAAAAAAGCAAAGAAAAAACAGACTTAACCAGTCTAACATTTGACGACCGATCAAAAATTCAATGATTCCCTGAGAAAGCGAAAGCGTGAAATTTTTGTAGCGTGAAACGGAGGCTTGAATTTTTTATTCTTAGTTTCTATATTTAATCAAGGTTCCTTCTTATAAAAATGTAGATTAATATACAGAGTGATATAAAGTACAGATATCTTCACACTTTGTGTCCTTAAAGTGATCTAGATGTGGTAACTTCTGTCCATTTGTAGATCATAATGCTCTCTCTCTCTCTGTCTGCTCGAGAGCAAGATTGTTTAAGCAACTTAAGATAGCTATGAAAACTCTCAGTTCTTCGTTGTGGCTACCACGTTGGACCAATATTTCGCGTACTCCTTCAAAATGGTGCCGCTGTAATTAGACGAATGATAAGTTAGATCATTATAACTTGAGAAACTAACGGAAACACTTTTAAACATTAGCTTAGTATGAAGTTAACTAATTATACAGGTTGCTTTAGAAACAGGTCTCTAAAGTTTAGAAACACTTTTTCTTTAATCCTGCAACGCTAACGTTAATATGAACCAAAGTTGAAATAATGTTTGCAATTTTTTTTACTAATTTATTAAAATTGAAATGATAAAAGTTAACAGAAAAAGTTTCACTTGTCGGTGTTTCAGGGAAAAAATAAGGTCAGAAAGTGTTTTCCTTCGTGTGTTATGAAAATATTTGCATAGCTCGAAATGTTTGTACAAATATGATAACAATTTGCGAAAAATTTCGTCCAAATCGTGCTGCAAATAAGAAACGTTTGCTCCGAAATTTTCACGCAAATATTTCCGAAACACCCTGTATAAAAAAAAGGAAGAGTTACAAGCAACGGGGGAAACTTTTCTCCGACGAGAATTCCTCGGACAACGTTCAGGGTCGATTTTTAAGCTTCTTTGAACAAACTCGTTTGTCAAAAAACGCAGGCTGCGGCCACGGTAGGGAAAACAAATTTGGAACTGCATTCGAAAAGGCCTTTCGCTTTGCCGGTATGGAGAAGAAAAAAAAGGACGGTTTCAACGTGGTATTTCGAACGAGAAGCTGCAACGAGCTAGAACGATTCATCCTTTGGCTTTCAGCCGGATATGTGAACCTTCTGACCTGTAATGTTCCCTGAAAATTCGATGGCTTATTAGCAAACGTGCCGTGTACGAGCACATTCGCGGGCAATCGCGCGGCGGCAGCGATTACTTCCACTGGCCAACGGTGTACAATTAGTCTTATTGCGTTATCCCCCTGTCGGAAGTCCACGCTGCAACTTGTCAGCCACGATTTTTCCGTGGTATTCAAGAAAAGAGGAATTTCCCTCGCTCTCTCTACGATTCAGTTCTCTCGACGAAGATTTTCTCCCGAAATGGAAGAGAAATTAGCGGGTCCTTTTCTTGCAATTTTGTTTTTAGAGGATAACAAAAATAATTCATCCCTTTCCCTCTTGAAATTTAGCGAACGTAATTTTTTTAGACGTACGAGAAAATAGAAATTTTTCATTTCTTTTCTTTCGAGAAAATTGAAAAATATTTCTGTCTCTCTACGATTCGACGAATATCAACGATTCAGTTCTCTCCATGAAGATTTTCTCCCGAAATGAAAGAGAAATTAGCGGGTCCTTTTCTTGCAATTTATTTGGGAGGGAATAACGAAAATAGTTCAACCCTTTTCCTCTTGAAATTATGCGAACGTAACTTTTTTTGGAGCAGTGAGAAAATTGAATTCTTTGATTATCTTTTTTTGGGAAAATTATTGCAATTTGGAATACGCAATTTTTATGAAGAATAAAAAGAAGTAACTCGTACCTTTTCCTCTTGAAATTTAGCGAACGTAATTTTTCTTTGATATTTTTTTTTTTTTTTAATTGGAAAATGGACGAGCAATAATTCGCATAGGACATTATAAAAAGTAAGAGTATTTCTCTTTGCTGTTCGGCCGGTTGCGGGTAGATTGGTTGAATTCCCAGGAGACGAAAAACCCTTGTAGAAATTAATTAATTAGCTCGGTCTAGAGGTTTAACGCATCCCCTGCTATTCATTTATTAATGAACGGGGACATCGCTCATAAATTATTGTCACATCGGGTACATAATTTATAAAGCAGAGGAAGTTTCTTTCCAGGGGTGAGAATCTCACGGTACTAGGTTGAATTAAACATTCAAACGGACAATTTACAGTGCAATCAAACCTAACGTTTTGATTGCAGGTTACTGAAAAGCGAATGAATAATAAATTTCAATCTGGTTCGTCGAATAAAATCTATCAATATTTTAGACACGTAAAATTAAACGTGAAATATTTCGAATTACAAAGCAAAATTATTCTTTTCGTCGAAATTTCTTCAAAAAAATTCAAATAAAGACGTAACAATTAGTCTGCAAATATGTAAATGCGTATTTTTATAGAAAATTAGTTTCTCCTAATTTTAGTTACGTTTTTCATTTCTTTAGAACATATGCAAATACATCATATCACATATTTTCCGTTCACAAATTAATTCTAATAAATAAACTAACCAGGACGAACTTAAAAAAAATTTTAATTACAGTGATAACGTTTAAATAATAACGCTCCCATTGTCGCGGCATACTTTCAACATTCTTATCACATATTTTTTGCACATGCTGTTATGCATACGCGAATACGTTGTATTTTCATACTTCGCATACTTTCATTTGCATATTTCGCCACATTTTATTTGCATATAATGAATGAAAAATATTATCGAAGAATTAAAATTAATTCCCTTGGTCCACTAGTTAATCAACTGAAAATGGTTCAATTAAAACCTACTCTCCTCGGTTCAAACGCGTACCCAAACGCTCGTTCGCCCCCCACTTCCAAAAATTCTTCGTACATTCGCAATTTGTTTATATTCCTTTCGTTCGTTCGATCTAAACGCACCTTCGCTCGACCGTAACAAAGACGAACGCTTTTAGTCGCATTGTTGACACGCAACGTGTAGTGTCACTTCTCTGAAAGGCTGTGCGGCGTATACGTACAGATAATTGTCTCTCCAGCTTGCATTTAATTATCCCTCTCTAGTTCTACGATTCGTTCAGCGAACCTAACAAACGATCACGCTATTTTCTAACTATTTTATAATGACTCCGGCAGTCGTGCACTTTCCATGGGCAATAAATAATACGCGTTGGTGCAGGGGATAAGAGTGGCGCAATTTGTGAAGTGGATTACGTTCCTCCGGGGAAGAATTTACAAATATTCCCTTCACCAGTGTGCAACCGATTACCATAAATTAAATTCACCGGCGTCTGTACATACGCGTCGTTCGTAATAAATGCGTCTGAATTAACACTTGACAGCAACCAACGGAATTTATGTCAATTCTATCGCAAATCTACCGATACACTCTCCGCGTGACATTTAAACGATAAACGAGACCAGGGAAACGTGTACAATTGTGTATTTCCCGTGTAAAAAAACCAGCGTGTGTTACGAAAAAATGGGGAAATACGACGGAAGCAAAATAAAATGATATTCTATGTCGCCGTGGTACATTGGCATAAATTCTAGGTTAGGTTTCCTTTTAACTCGATCTACGTGTTTTTTCATTTTAAGTAAAACGTGTAGGGTGACTGAGAGAATTTTGGTTGTGAAATTTGAACTTGTGATCTTGGTCAGAACTGAAACTTTTCCATTGGGCAAACAGAGAGACGCCGGTTGTCGGGAAAAATTGTCGCAAGTGGAGAAGGTGAAATTTTTGCGGAGAGCGAGAATTAATTGTAGTATTATGGAACGTACGTCAGCTGAAATTTGCTCACTTGAAGTATTACAGTTTCGACATCTGGCAAGCGATAAAATGAATATTGAAAATTCCTCACATGTGACAGTTACTCCGTGCGAAAGATGGAAGAAACTCGGCGCGATCTCTGTCTCGCTTTAATTAAACACTCGGGATATTTCCAAATTCGTGTGAAAATTGAACGCGAAATACGAGCAAAAATTCTCTCCTCTCGGAATACGAACTTGGAATATAACCTAAAAGAAAGGAACCAAAAAATCACCTCTCCAATTACACTCGATTAATCCTAACCTCCAAAAGTCTCACCTTAAAACATCGAATTCAAAACCAACCGTGTTTCTCAGTTAAACACTCCGAAGGATATTTCTCCTGGTCCCGAAAAATTCGTATGAAAATTGAACGCGAAATACCAGCAAAAATTTTCTCCTCTCGAAATACGAACTTGGAATATAACCTAAAAGAAAGGAACCAAAAAATCACCTCTCCAATTACACTCGATTAATCCTAACCTCCAAAAGTCTCACCTTAAAACAACGAATTCAAAACCAACCGTGTTTCTCAGTTAAACACTCCGAAGGATATTTCTCCTGGTCCCGAAAAATTCGTATGAAAATTGAACGCGAAATACCAGCAAAAATTCTCTCCTCGCAGAGACCTCCCTTCTTTTATCTCTATCCTCTCTCGAATATCTTTATTCGCCCGATAAAACTTCTATCTCTGTTAAATATTTCGTTGGTACATCCGACATGCCCGACTTGGAAAATTCCGGTGAGAAGCGCGGGGGAATTTTCTCCGCGTCACGTTATCGCGCTTTATCATCTCCGAGGCGCGAGGAGTATCGGGAAATACTCACGTGAAGTACACGCGTCCACGTGCGTTCGGCGGAGCATTCCAGATGAGGGTGGCGTGCTGTTTCACATAAGGATCGGCATGCGTCACGGCGCTGCACTCTGGATGGGTGCTTGTGTTCTCTGTCTGTGCCCAGGAACCGATCCAGTTGTCTGTATCGGGGTCACGCGCCTGCAGGAAGAATCCCTTGAACGACGAACCGCTGATGGTCACTGAAAACCGATACGTTGGCTGGAAAACTCAATCTCGGGGGAGAGCTTGACGAAACTGTCTGTTAGCGCGATGTACCGTGGGAAATACGGAGAGAGAAGTGAATGTGAAGGTAGGAACGATTCTTCCTGGCTACACGAGGGGATGTTTGGGAGAAATGCGTCGGTCGTTTGCTATGGTGAAGTTGCAATTTTTCGTTTCAGTTTCGGTAATCGCGGAACTGCAATTTTTTCGTTAATTTCTTGTAAGTGTGTAATTGTGGTGTGTAGTGTTGCATGGTTGGAGGTTAGGATTGGTGCAGCGGTGATTTTACATCGATGGAAAAAGCTTTCGAGAGTGGAAAAGTCGAGTAGTTTTTAAGAAATGTGCTTGAAGATGATTAATTCCCTCTCAGACGTTTCTTTTCTTAATTTTGCTGTGTAAATGTGAATTTTACAGGTTGTCCAAGAAGTCTGATTATCTGGAAACGCTGAATACGTGTTTTGGGCCACTTACGTCCCTAATTCAATTTTTCTTTTTTCTTTCCCCAGGTATACGTGAACGCATTCACAACCACAATTATTTTTATTCCTCCAAAATTTATTTCTCCCACCCTGAGTCCACCGTTCTCAAACTTAAAAAATCGCAACGAATTTCTTTCTCTACCAAATCACATAGAACTTATATTTCCCCGAACACAAGTAAACAAATTCCCTACCACCTCAGTTATCTTTCTTACTCTAAAGTGTACAAATTTATTTCTCGCACCCCGAGTCCGTCGTTCCTCAAAGTAAAAAAAATCGAATTTCCCTTTGTCTCCCTTCGCAAGCTTCTGCAAAGAATAGAAGTTATCCCAGCGGGGAGAAGAGAATTGTACCAGGGCGATAGAGATCACTCGTCAAAATGCAAATGACACGAAAGAAGGAGAGGAAACGGTTCGGTAAATGGAGAATATCGCTGGATATATTTCTAGCTAACAGGACGGGAAAGACTCGATAAAAAGTTTCACGAGTGGCACGGTACACGTTTCGAACGTAAACAGAGCGTAGAGGACCTTGCGAATACGTTCTTCGCCCCTCTTTCATTCTGATTTCGTCGGATGGTCTCCCCAGGACATTGGGAAAAAAGGGTGGAGTTTACCAGCCGTAGGTCAATCACCAGGTCAGTCAGCTTACGCTGGTGATAAGAGCGAAGGTCGTTGTTCTCCCAACTATATTCACGATCGAACCTGGGTCACCCCTCTATGTTTGCGCTCTCACCCTCTGTTACGCCAATTGCGACAGAGAGTGGTCACGAACGTTTGTCACGCTGCTCGGTTTGTACGATCAATTAAATGTTCGACCGAGCTTAATATCTTCTTTTTTTCTTTTTTTACCCCTCGTAATATGGAGGAGAAGGTTTGACTATGGGCTGGCACTGTGGATAATTTTTAAGATATAACACACTTGAATATGTATGTATGTGAGTAACATGTTTACTGTATGATACGAAATGAAAATAAGCTGAAGAAGAGCAACGTATGTTGGAATTTATATTGTACAGTTACAATAAAAGGGAAAATGTTCATTTTTTAGGAAGGTGTTCTAAATATGGGCCACTCCGTAATAATGATATTAGGCACTTTGAAGCTTCGTTTCAGTAAGTAGTGTATTACCAATTTTTCGGAATTTGAATTACCTCCATGGTTTGTTTTCTGTTTTCAATGGAATTACGGTAAATTTGAATAGATGTTTTATCGTTTATTTGTAGAAAATTAGAAATGAGTTTTAATTATCTCGTTGAATTAGTTCTATTTCCACTAGAATTTCCATACATTTTAACCTTACGTCCCCATTTCTGAAACGCGATCGGGCGCACTGGATCTTAGAGATGGGCCTTCAAGAGGTCTTTTACCAAGTGGAAAGTAACTAACCATAGGAATAATAGAAGAACATGAAAAACGCGATCGGGCGCACTGGATCTTAGAGATCGGCCTTCAAGAGGTCTTTTACCAAGTGGAAAGTAACTAACCATAGGAATAATAGAAGAACATGAATGTAAACAGAAAACATGAACATTTTGAGCACATTTGCACATTCATTGCGCAACGCATCGCGTCTATATACATTAGATGGTTGTGCCTGAGAGATCAGGTGCGCCCGACAGAGGGTTAACAGAAATTCCTATTGTTTATTTGTAGAAAATTCGAAATGAATTTTAATTGTTACTGCTAGATTTCTTCCTTGGTGAATGGTATATTTCACAATTTATGCGACCACGTGCGACAGCATTGATAAAACGAAATAGTTTATCTGGAAGAGTGGCGACTAGATTTTCGCATAAATCGAAGAACTTTTCGAAACACCACGCGAGAATAAAGTACAGAAATCTTTGTGCCCGCTCCCTTTCCATCGACACGGTAATTTTTTACTCGAGCCGCACGCAGCTTTTTCTTTTTTCCTCATTCTCCTTTCGCTTTTGATCGATACGCGGTATTAGAGCCGGTGTATAAAAGGCGACGTTCTAGAAAAGAACGCAATTAGGATGACCAAAAAGAAAGAACGAAACGTGGTTTAATGCTCTGCCCAATCCGTGCGCATAATTTCCAACTCGATTTTAATTTATTTGCACTGCAACGGTAACAACGAGTCGATAATACAGGAGAAATTACGAAACAGTAAACTGCTTCAGCAGGGAAATATCTCGATTTTCCGAAAAATATTCCAATTTTCGTTTCCATGAAATTTTCAATTCCCAAATTTAAACGCTGAAAAATTCATATTTCACGTAGAAATTAATTCGGTGCTTTTTGCCCAAAAACTTACTCGATAAATGGAGAAAAAATTTCTAGAATAATGTAAATTAATTGCAATATTATAATTATGTTTAATTTCTACGTAAAAAAGGCATCGAATTCATTTGTACACCTGATACACATTTAATTGATAAAAATACCTAACCTAACCTCGAGAAATAAATGAACAAAATAATGGACAAGTTAACGGAAACCTTCTCCCTCTTAAAATTTTAGACAAAACAGTATAAAAAGGAACGTAGAAGATGGAGATCTGACCTGATCAGGCTAACGAGCATGCTGAACAATCGGTAAGTTGCAAACGCGATAATTAGCTGTTTAGCTGTTTTGTCTATAAACGCGAGTAAAAAGAAGGGCAAAATTGCATGTTCGACGGCTGGTATTTTTGGAGCGGGAAAGAAAACACGCATAGTTCTCTCTAATATGGCGTCAGGTGGGCGAGTTGCTCGCATTCTAGAATGCGTGCTTCAGATTTAAGTAGGCAGAGTCAGGTCAGGTTTTTTCCTTTTCTTTTTTCGAGCAAAGCACGTTAGGTCGAACGAGAAACCTGCACCTGGAATTTGTGCTCTGCTCCCTTACCGACCGAGCCGCCTTGCTTACAAAATACTCCACTTCCGATTTCTACCGTGTACGTGCGCGAAATTACTCCGCGAATCAATCAACGTACTAACGAGTATCTCAATTTGGCGGTGAAAAAAAAATTACGATGTCGAAATCGAATTTTCGTACGGTTTCCATGTACGTTTGTATCATTTTATTGCGCATTTCGTATCGACTCGAGTTGCAATCGTACTAGTTTTTTTAATAGATCGAATCGTGAGTTGATGCACGTTTTATCGCGTGCTCTAAGAAGTATCTGTTGCAAGTGAAATTAATTCATAGACGTATACAGCAAATAAGAAATGAAAAATTATATATAAAAGTATGGAAATAATTGAAAGTTAACATTGCAGAGAGTTGAAATTCGTCGTCACGTTCTTTTCTCTAACTCGACACTTACATAACCTAAAAAATGAAGCTTAATTCACTGACATGTACAAGAAATAAACAATTACGTATAAAAGTGTGTAAAAAATTTAAAGGTAACACTGCAGAGAATATTTTAATTCATCGTTACATCTTTCTCTTTAACGTCGACGTTTCTACATTTTCAAAAATCAAACATCGCTAATTCACCAGCGATTGAAAAATGAGAAAATCTGAAGTTGATCCTTCTCCGCGATACCGAATTTCTCTCAATTGGAACCAAAGAAAAATCAGCACGATTAACGTGACGTTTAAAGAGAAAGAACGAAACGCGATCTATCGTTTGCAACGAAGGGGAAAAAGTTACGGTCGAAACTGCAATTGGGAATGTCAGTCTATGAGTCAGGAAATTAACATTTAACCGATGTGGAGCAAGTTTGCACAAACGTTTAAACACGATACAGCCAAAGCTTGGACATGCAACAACAAACTCGATGAATAACGGGAATTTTAGGCACGTAATTTCAAACCGTGTGCCCCTCTCCGTGTTCTGCGAAATATCTACGCAGAAACGAATTTCTTTTCCGTGGAGGGACGATTCCAGCGCTATTATTCCCGATGATTGAACATGCAGAACCGGCCTGTGAACCGCAGAATACGCGGTTGTTAGCGTTTTAGACGCATTTCGAGTTGCACGGTATCCGCACTGATTGGATCGATTGTTCCCTGCCGGCTCTGTCCCGTTATTCTTTTCCTGCTCCACGTGCTACACTGCTAATTTTCCGAACGAAATACCGAGGAGATCCACCTGGTCACAACACACCCTGCTATCTTTTTTTTTTCTCCTCTTTTTTCTGGAGAAGATAAAAAAGAAGAATTGTAGGTCGAAGGATCCACAAGTGACTCGAGAGCACTCCAGAAATCATGGACGGCAAATTGTCGGACGATAAGATTTTCGATTTCGATCGAGAGATTAGTTGAGAATTGAAAATTTCTTCGACGGAAGAATTTGGGGAAGAAATCTGGTTTTTCCTTGAAAAATCTGGCATTTCGCAATTTACGCCGATAGATCAGCGTACCGTTAGATCGTTGCAGAAGATGAGATTAATTTTCAATTTCTTATCATTTAAGAATCTCTTCTTCGTTAATTCTTTTTTACCGATGTAAAATTGAGACGTCATTTTTTTTTCACACTTCCTTTTTGATAGGAAATAAGACACTCGAAGGAATTTATCGGAGGATTAAAGAGAAAGGGTTGTTTCTTTCTTCAGGAAGATTCAAGCGACCTTTCCGTTTTCTTTAGACACGCCTTGCGTATGTTGCATTGTGATAGAAGAGTTGAAGAAAAGGTGGCACAAGGTGGCAAGATTTGCGATAGTCGAATGTTGCAAGTCGCCTGAGAAAAAGTTGTACAATCTGTTCGTTTTAATCTGCGTATACATAATCTTTGCTAATTTATTCTCTTCTCGCAGCGTTCTTATTCTCACGTCCTACGACTGTAATCTGTCGAGAATAATCGTTGAAAACATTGCCCGGAATAAACGAACAAACCTCTGCTTCTGTTTCACAAGCGAAATATTCGCTTGCTGATTCACCGGATCTTTTTACCCACGTCGATTACCGCGTGTCGAAGCGCAACCGGCGCCGAATTTTTCGTTAAACTTTCGAATCACTTGTCTAATTAAAGTCTTGCTCCTTCGAAATGAACAATAATTCGATCAAATCGTTTCAAGCTATCTTAACACTAAAATTACCGACCGAGTCAAAATGACCCATTAGCGACTTTGCAAAAGTGAATTTTTATGTTAATAAACCGTGATTGGAAAATTCGATTCATACCGATACAAATGGAAGCATACATGTAGAATATAAATTCGGAAAGTTACAAGCGACAATACCAGTATAGAGCATTCGCGTTTTTTCGAAAGATGCTAATGGATCATTTTGACTCGGTCGGTATGAATTTTTTCAGCGTGCACTTGTAACGTTGATTCCAAACTTCTTTTCTTCTTTTCTTCGTCGGCGATTTATAACGTGGTCGTAAAAGACGAGGAAGTGCAACAGTAGCCGATAGTTGCATGACATTACTTCACCAGCGTGAAGCGAAGACAAGTAAATGTCTCGACAACGGTTGCTCCCCTGATCGATTATGTTAACACTTTCGGCACGAGATGTTTTTCAATGCTCTATGTGACCCACGAGAATTTCTTCTTTATCGTCTTCGTTATTTTTGAAGAATTTTTTCAATTTTATTACTTCGCAGCGTCAAATTTCTCCGCAACATTGGTCCCTGATCGATTACGTTAACACTTTCAGCACGAGATGTTTTTCAATGCTCTATGTGACCCACGAGAATTTCTTCTTTACCAACGTTTTCATTTTTTTTCTTATTTTTTAATTTTGAAGGCGTAAGGGCTGGTTTGCACGGGTTGCGACCTCGCTTGGCCATGATTCGGTTCGTTGGCCTTGGACGGTTTGACACAAGTGTCGACCGGTGCTCCATCCGGGAAACTATACGCGAAAAACGGCGAACAAGCCATAATTATCGTACCGATCGCTATGCTCCTCATAGTCAGGCTCATTTTGTCAGTTTCCTCGACGCTCCTCTTGCACTCGCGACCCTTCGTTCGATGTAGAAGAAATTAATTTAATTCGGTGAACTTGCCAAGGAATTGTATGTTAAATGCGTTCGAACTGTTCGAATTCTCGGGGATTTTATTTGGAAAAATTTGAAATATAGTTTACTTGACTTTTTCTTGTTTTTTGAAAATTTCAAACATTCAGCGGCGAAAAGTAATGGGTGAAAGTTGCTTATTTACAGTTTCTTAAACAAAATATCGATTGTTAAAAATTGTACAAATTTTGGAAAAATTTTTTAATTCGTTGTAAATTTGGGTATCGAGTTACGATTTTTGGATGGTAGCTGGTTTGGTGAATTAATTTTCCAAGAAAAAACACCGGGGGTGTGTAACTTGTTTAGAGAAAAAAAATGGAAAATATGAAATCGATAAGCAATTGACGAGAGACACTTACTTAAGATTAGATTAATAAAGGGGGAGAGACACGAAATTGGAAATGATCGTGTTAGAAGTAGAATGACTGGAAGGAAACTGCTCCGCTCGACCTCCTGCGAGTAAGTCAAACGTGGTCAGATCCCACCATAGATTCATAAGAGGCAGGCACAATTCACTTTTGCTAATTGTCACTTTCACTTCGATCCCTTCGTTTCGATTCTACACACAGCTGACTGCGAATCGCGTTTCGGTATTCGCTAATCCTATCTTCCCACTTCTTTCTCGAACGAAGTATTCGGTGTATCTTACTTTTTTTTCTTTTTTTTCTTTTTCTCTCGAAAACCTGTTCCGTTTGATTTAAGAAAAACTTTCGATTCGTTCTTCAACTTTGTCCTTTTTATTTTTCTCGTCGTATTCTTTCAATGTTTCCTTGCAAACAATTGGTCCTTTTAAAGAAAGTTTTTTTTTCAATTTCTTTTTTCTTTTTTTTGCATTTATAATAAATCATTTTGACATATTTTAATCCGAGTGTAGTAGTTAACGAGGCTTGTTTAGGAATATTTTATACGGTGTATATGCCGTATTACTGGTTTCGAGTTGTATTGATTAAATGGGAAATAAGAAGCCGTATGCCTACATAGCATGTAATTTTTGCCACCCTGTTAAATTGATTCGTGGAAAAAAAGTGTTTCACGCTTTCCAGCTTTAGCATTATACCGTTCGTAGAGAACTATGGTGTGTTCTCTCGGTCAGTGTGACTTTTCACAGTTATTGATTTTCTACGAGCTTTCAGGGCAACGCGACACAAAGCATAAGAATATTCGCAATAGGTTTCGTTCGGGTAGACAAAAACGCAGACGCATAATTCTCAGCGAAACGTTTATTCGTTAATTACAAAAATCTTTTGTGACAATATGTACTGTATGAGGATCGCAAAAGAAAACTGTTACGTAATTTTTATGTATATGTATATTTTATTTTTGCTAGACGAACTAAAAAAATGCCACTAGGATACGTTACTGTTGTATAGTAATCGAAAATATGATTTACAACAGCCGTAATTACGTTTAAAGTAAATACGTTCAATATAATATAGCTATACACTGAACACAGCGATCTCTTCGTCACTCAAGCTTGACATACAAAAATACAAAGAAGTTTTACACTTTGTACACATTTGAACTACTTACATTATTATAAATATTTGTATATCAACGAAAAGTACAGTAGGATTTTACTTTTGTGCACAATTGTTTAACGCAATCAAACGCTTTTTGTTTATACATACAAATAGAAACACTGGTATCTCAAATATTGGCTTTAGAGAGGATTTGTTTCATATTTAGACCATCTAAACATTTAAAAACATTCATTCGTCGTAAACAGATATATAAAACTAGATAAAAATATCGTCGTTTGTTCAATGATACATTCACAAATACTCTATAATGTCTCTACACGAAGAAGGAATGTTTTAATCTGACTCCTTTAAGGCGGAAGTGTTTTCGATCACTTCGATAGCGCAACGTCGTGGAAACCAACCTCGGATCCGTATTTGCTTCTCGTTTTCGTCCTCTCTTTTCTTCTCTCCAAATAACCAGTATCTGTAAATTTGATCAATTAAATGACTGCACAGATGATAATATTTTTTATGCGAACGTACTTTCCCCATCGCGTTACGATCACAATATCCCCGATGTTGAGCTTAATAGTTCTATCGATGCAAGGCGAGTGACAAAGCACGCCCCAACCGTATCCCAATGGATAATACGATCCAGATACTTGGTCTATAACTCTGTAAGTCTTAGCTCTCTTCCGTTTATTTTTCTTCTGAGCTAACTGTTCGCGCTGAAATATTACAGAAATGATCACAGTTTAAATTTTCGTCGATTTATTAGAAAAATACATCTGCTTAAAAAGCAACAAATAGAATGTTACCGTTAACGTATATTGGTCACAGCCTTCGATTACAGGCCAGTGAATTCCATCACCGATTGGAATGCAATTCCATGTGAAAACTTGATGTATATTAAAACGCCATCCTTTTGAATATGGATAAATAAATTTGTCTCTAGTTCCCAATCTTCGATAATGTGCCTTCTCTAATATCCAATCTTCAATCTCTGTTTTGTTTCCAAATATCGACGATAGCTGTGTAGAAATGTAAACATTTCATGTTATAAAAAGTACGAAATACGAATGATATAAATATTAGTTTAGCGGTAAAAAATTAAAATCTTACTTGCCGATAAAGTAACGCTCCAACAACAAGTATAATACCAACTGACAAACCAATAGTGAAGATCACTAATATCAGAATAAATACAGAAGGTGGTGGGTATGATAATGGTCTTGAAGATAATACAGTACTCATCACCCAAGAAACCAATGTAAATGTGGAAATGCAACAACCACAAACAGCACTTGCTAAAAATGCTGTAAAATGACAATGATTGTAATGTCCCACACAATTATTTATCCATGGACAATGATGGTCCATTTTCATCACACAACGACCACCTGAAAATAAAAAATCAATTCAATATACTATACAAAATATCACTGTCATTTAATTATACAAATTCTCACACTTTCTGCAATGATGAGATCTTGGTGCTTTATACCCTTCACATACAGCACAATATTGCAAGAACTGAGTGTCTGTTACTTTTTCCTTAAAAAGCAAAAACAATAATAATATTAAAGTAATATGGAATTTATATTGAAAGATTGTATCTTTATGTTGATTAATATTTTTAAATATATATTATAAT